AAGTCGTGACCCATCAGCACCTCCGAAGGCAGAACACACGGGAGCCGCCGCCACTGTCTCCACTCAGCAGCACCCTCTGGTCACCGTGAATAGCCGAGGCGAGTCGTCCCTGTTAGTGTTATATACTGAAAGCTTGGCTTTGCATGTCATTACACATTTACCCTTTACGAATGAGAATCATGTTAGATTAAACAAGTTCTACGTTCTGTTGTTCTGCACTTAGATAGGGTGGGTCATCATCGGGCGAACCGAAGATCACTCTATCAGTCACTTGCAAACAAGAATAGTTGTTCACAATCTTGATGGACATGAACACCCCATCCGAACGGTTGTAGTGTCAACTGTACAGTTTGTCTTGATTGATTAGTTGCACTAATACATTTATGTATTAAACAAGATCCCAGAGAGGAGAAGTTCATTTTATACTGATCGTCGTTAATGAACTAGGCCTCGGTTAATTACTGCATTCTCTTAACCCGTATGATATTAAACAGGCAGATATATATAATATATACTACTTTGATTCACATGGGTGAGGTTCAGTTCGCTGGATTAATATTCCTACTGTTTTGGATAATATTATTATATATAGGATGTGCTGTTAGGATATTTACGGTCACCATGTGCGTTAGTTTGATGATGTCCCCGGAGTGAGTTCATGAAGGATTGTTATGCTAAACCCTGCAGGTGGATTAAGTTCCGGCATAATAAGAATGTGATGAACGAGCGCTAGCTTCGGTGAAATAATAATAAATTAATTAATTCTTGATTGTCAGTAATCAAATTAATTAATGGACATTATAGCTTAAACGTGGGGAGGCAAATCGAGTAATTATTATTGGAGTCTCAAATGTAATTTTGGCTAGGAAAAGGGAGTGCAATAATATAATGTTGGTGGCCCATTAATATTATTTAATTAATTAGAGGAGTGGGCTTGGCCCACAGTTAGTCTAATTAATTAAGGAGCCCTTTTCGTTATCTCCTAAGGGTCCCTACTGTAGCTCTATATATACATCATTAAGCTCATGAGAAGGGAAGAGAATTCCTAATCACACGTGAATAAAACCCCCCTCCCCCCACTCCCCCCACGCCTCTCTCTCTAGTTCTCATTCGAGCTTTATCTTCTTCTTGTTGGTCCACTGGTACAAGTAGAAGAAGGGTGTGTTAGTAATACAGTAGAAGATCTGTAGGTAAACCGAGACGAAATATATTTTGACCTACAGAACTGACCGGAAGTCCGATTGAGACGTACAACATACCCAGACGACCGTCTCGACGAGAGATTTCAATTGCCGCCAAGATCACAGCCGTCCGATGCCTCACGCGCCTTCACATGCCGCCGGAAGCTCCCAGACTGCAAGTTTCGTTTTGATCTGTTTGCATCCGTTTGATCCGATTTTGATCTGATCTTGTTCGTGCAACCCAAGACGTGAGTTGCGGTCAATAAATTGCGGTCAACCGTTCGTGGTCAACCAGATCTACATAAATTTTAATCCGTAAGTTCTCTACGTCAAACCTTTAGATCCGCTGCGCATAGGTTTACGTTTGCTATTGAATTCGTGACTTGTACATAACGAGATCCTCACAGATCCCAACAATCCCAGGTCTGCCATGCATCCCCGAATGCTGTAGCTGTGACCTGGCCCTATTCGTTTACCGAGCAGCAGCCTGAAACTTGTCGGACATCGCAGGTAGACGTCCATCGAGTGAGCCTAGTCCGAGTCATGGTCGAGGTTGCATTTTCGTTCATTCGTTCGTTCGTTCATTGCCAAGCGAGTGTGTAGATTCCCGCAGGAAGGTAATCGACCGAACTTTCTATTTTATTTGTGCTCGCGTGAATACTCATTGGATTGAATTCGCGTTGGTTGAATCGAACATCCGTTCGTTGTGGTTGATTTATTTTCGGTTCTCTCGTTGTGTTGCTTTGTGAGAAATTGACGTGGAATTGGAACTCTCTCTAGTTGTGTTGAATCGAGTCCTCTTTTAGTTGTATTTATTTTTTAGGTTTTATCGAGTAAATGGAGCCTCGTTTTGTGTCCAAGCCTTTATCTCGTGTTGATTGATGTGTTTAAGTGTTGAGCTTAAAAACCCTATTTTTGACCCTTGTGTTGATTGTTGTTCGTCGCTATTTTTTACCGCTGAATCTCGGTCGAATGATTTCGAACTCTTCAAGTGATTTGAGTTTCCATCTTTTATGTTTCCTCTCGAGCAAGAATCATTTTATTATAATTTTTATTCTGAAAGTTATGGCTAAAACTTAACGAGTGCGCGTCCAGTTTTTATGATTTTTCAGTGTTGTATATGGTCTTTATTCCTTGCTGTTTATGAATGCTGAAACCTTGTCATCTCTTTCTAAGTCTACACAAGACTTGTAGCTCAATCGATTATCTTTCAGGAGGAAAAAGAATCAGATGATTATCAGTTTTTTAGTGAAGTTATGTCAACAATTCGATCGTTGCACAGTCAGTTTTTCGTTTTAATCGCAGAAGTTTGAGTCTGTTGTTTTTGCTATTTTTGGCCTGTTTCAGGTGACCTGGGAATTTTGATGTCTTCAAATGATTTTTATTTTTATCTTTTTGGTTTCAAATGGCACAATATTCATTCAAATATCATTATTGTGCAAAGAGACACGTTCGAAATACAAACGTCGTGCAATCAGTTTTTCTGAAAATTGACAGCAGGTTTGTTGTCTAAGTTTGATCTATTTTCATCCCTTTAACTTGTCCAAATGCACTCAACATCTACATGAAATTTGTAGTGCTATATTTTTTCTTTCTGTTGGTTTAAATTTTATTTCAAAATATTTCCTGTAGCAAAAATTATGCTCGTTTTTTGGGGACTGCGCATGAAACGTTGGTGCAGATATTTGGCAGCAATAATTCTCATGTGTCGATTAAATTTGACCCTTTAAAGGTCCTCGTTTATATTTCATGTCTAAATGAAAGTTTTAGTTCTGTGTCTCGGGATTGTTTTACAGAAAGAATCACTTTGATTCGAGTTTTCTTCCAAAAGTTATATTAAAAATAAAATCGATGCGCGTAAAGAGTTACCCATTTTTACAACAACTTAATTTTATGTTTTCTCTTGCCCGTTTTCGAGCCGTTTGATACGTTTTCTAGCCGAACCTTAATTTTAACCGTGTGACCATCATTCTGAGTCTTGTTCCAATCTTCGGAGAGTTCCAAATTCCACAAGAGTTCCACAAAATCCATAATTGATAGATTTCAATTAAGTATGAATTTCAATTGAAATTCTGAGTGTCAGGATATTGTATTTATGAGTTTATCTTGATTTAATGTAAGTGTTTGAGGAGTTGATACCTCAACCTACGTCCGTCTGATTGTGTTCTATCGCCTACCTGATTTCCAGGTGGGTGTTTCTAAATTAGTGTGCCATAATTCTTTATAATCGCTAGGTCTCATAATTAATGTATGTGTGTGAACCATATAACCTTTCGATGTATGCGGTTTCGACCTTCGATACGGTTATCCCCGTCGTCGTCTGTGGTTTCGACCTTCGACGGTGCCTATTGACCGGTAGTCTCCTTTAGCCTAATGATAGGCCTTGTCGTTGTGGGCGGTTTCGACCTTCGACATATACTCCCATTGATGACTGTGGTTTCGACCTTCAGTGGCTTTTAAGGTGTGCACATGAGTATGATATGATTGATAGGAGATGTGATAATATTATTGATTCATGCTCATGCTGAGATTATGTATCTGTTATTATATTGAATTGATGTGCATAGTGGTGAGCTAGTGGTTTGCTCACCCCCATAATCTCCCATTTCAGGTTGAGCTGGTGGTAGCGGCGAAGGACGGGCGAGCGAGGTCGTATTTGCTTGTCTTATGAACTGTTTATGCTTTCGTATTATTTTTATCATTATGAATATGCTGTTAGTCTGATATATTGTTTTGCAGACTTGAATTGAATTATGAAATTGGGTCATTTTACTCGTTATTGCATTTTGATATGAAAAACTACTTCCGTTGAAACTATATTTTCTGGTGAACTTGATTTGAGAGATTGAAAATGATGATGTTATGATTGAGATTACGAGACAATGAATTTGATTGATGTTTACCTAATATGTATGTGATGGAAATTGGGGAAATGTGTTCCAATAGGGCTCAGACATGAGTTGAGCTAGATGATTTGATGATTAAATTGAATAGCGCCCGTTAAATTGTTTTCGAAAAGAAAAAAGAAATGAACGAACTTTGAAAAAATTTAACTCTGATTTTTAAAATTCGGGATTTTCCTTATGGAAATAACAAGGCGTTAGGTATACATTTCTATAGACTGCTTTCAAAATTATCTAAGTATTTGTGTTAATGGCCTCTCGCTTTCGTCCAACCGCGCCAGCTCAAGGAATGAGTTAATTTTTATTATTTAACTGTTTATTTTTTGTCTTAGGAATTTATCCTCATTCTTATAATATCCTTGAACTTTAGATGAGTTTCAAATTTTAGTTGTGATAAGGCATGACTCTAGTCAAGTTGTACTTTATGAATTTGAGTTGCCTTTTGCAGTGATGACAAATCATAGCAGTGGGCAAGTAGAAAACCAGAGTCAGCCTATGCCGGGGCTGAATCAGACTTATTTGGTGATGCATTCGCGTGGTATGCACCCACCTACCTACCATGTTCAGTATGAACCTTCGATCGTAGATGAGAGGCTCTACAAGCAGGAGAATGATGGTTCCTATGAGGAAATCAAACATGAGAAGGCAAACCATTGCGGCATCACATTCGTGGAGACTATCCATCGAGTTTAGAAGACGGCTGAAAAGTTAGACCAACCATCAGCAACACAGCCTACACCCCTACTAGGAACTCAACCAGTTAAGAGTTCCAGAAAGAGGAAGAGGCAGAGGGGACAAAAGAGGGATAACCGGAGAGGAGCGCACCAGCGTGACTATCAACCTTCAGTGCAAAACACTCAGCCTGCTCATCAGATTCCTGGGAGACCACCGAGATGTGATACATGTGGTAATACGCATGAAAGAGAATGCAGGGCAAGCCGGCATACCTGTTTCCAATGTGGAAAAGTTGGACATTATGCTAGTGTTTGTCTGGAGAGCGGTCAGCCGCTGTAACCGTACCAGCAGCGTCTACAGGGCCAGCCGTGATCAACAGGGATCGATGGTGGAGCGGCGAGTCATAGATGCTAGAGTTTTATGTTCGTCTAAATTCTTTTCTCTTCTTCCCTTTAATCTATTTTTGGGTGCAACCTTGGCAAGCCCTCATTTTATTTCACAGTGTAAGCAAGTTTTCCGACTCTCAGAATTTGGATTTAGTTTCTCTTAAATTTTTAGCCTAATATAGTATATGAACTACGTGTACTATTTGGTTTAAGTGGAGAATTTAATAAAACGAGGATCTGTACTTAAAATGGAAAGGTATAGTAAGAATTTGTACTTAAAATGGAAAGGTATACTAAGCACAAAATTGTTAGGTGCTTGTATTGTTTTGAAGATTAGTATTCATTTCAAAATCTGCCTTTCCTTTTATTAGTTTATTATCCTGAATTAGGAATTATATAAGGGGAATTTAGTATTGCACAAAATATCATTTTCGGTCGGAAAATGTCGACGGCGGCCGAAAAATGGGGCCCGGGAGGTTCGCCGGAAAATTTGGCTGAAAAAGCGTTGATCGCCGGAAAATTTCTCCAGCGACCGAAAAATATTGTCGGCGGTCGCCAGGTGCGCCGGGGCTTGGTGGTTCAACTAGTTACTCAATGTGACTTGGTGGCGGCTCAATGACGGTTCAGTGTAGTGCATGCGGGTGTGGGACATGGCTCGGGTCTGCTTGGTGCGGGTGCGCTGGGCGTGGTCAGGCACGTGATCGGGTGCACGCGGGGCTAGGCTGCTGGGATGCGCGGGGCGGCTGGTATGAAGATGTGGATTTCAAGGCCCGATCACGCAGAGGACCAAGGGTCGAGACGACCCGAGAAGACCGAGAAAAGGGCCAAAATCACACAGGCGTGGCCTAAGACACGGGTACGATCTCGTATGCGAGGCACAACGAGTGCAAAGGAGCCGACCAACGAAGTCGCGCATGGAGGTGCGCGAAGGAACAAAAGAAGGTGCGCGACTGGCGCGAGGTGACCCGACAGCAAGGGCGCGAACACGCACATTGGCGTAGACGTGCACGGTCAGACCCAAGAATCCCACACTGCGAAGGCGAGGACTGGATGAGATTCGGGCTAGGCGACGTGAGTCTCGAGTCAGGGGACGGATACACGCGAAAGGAGCTCGCACGGGCCTAGTAACCACGGGCCTAACACGCATGGGTCGGGGTCGAGACACTCACGTGGGCTGGGACAGCGAGGGACTTGCGAGAGTGGGCTTGACAGGCCGAGGGGCTAGCAATAGGCCTAAGGAAGCGCGCGACCGAGCGCGCGGGGGAGTGCGCGGACATGATGCGCGATCACACGAGGCGAGCTGAGCGAGCCGAGGGACGAAGCTTCTAGAAGATTATAAATAGATTAATATGTAATTAGCATTTTATTATTTTATTATTAGTGTAAGTTAGTTGTTAGAGATGTTAGTGGCATATGGTTATTAGATGTTAGGAAATTATAGTGTTAGCATATATATTTAATTAGTTAGCGTTAGTATTTAATTAGCCGTGAGTTATAGGTTAGATTGGTTAGGTTAGAATATTTTTAGCCGTATTAGTAGAATATTAAGAATTAGTATTTAATTATTTGGTAAGTCTTGATATGCAAGACATTTAGTTACCTTAGGACTAGATATATTTTCTATAGATTAAAATTATAGTGTCATAGGACTAGATCTAGTTTTTCTTATAAATACCCAATGTATTCATTCTATTTTTTAATATGAATTGAAGTTAATAAAAAATCGTTCGCAAGAGCAAAACCGTGTGTTTCGAATTCGTGAAAGTTTTATCATACATTGAGTTTAGCAAGGCTAACACCCGAACCATTTCAAAATCGTGAGAAGATAAGGTTAATAATCGAGTCGTCCACACCTATCGTCGAAAAAGAAGTGTTGGCAAAGGTTAGTTCGAGACAGACGAGTTGAGGAGATAAATGATTATTCATCATTGGTGCTTTCGCCAAGGCTAACACCCGAACCATTTTAAAACCGTGAGAAGAGAAGGCTAATAACCGAGTCGTCCACACCTATTGTCGAAAAAGCGGTCTTGGCAAAGCTTACTTCGAGACAAACGAGTTGAGGAGATACATGATTATTCATCATTGGTGCTTTCATTGAGAGTGATCAATCGTGTATCTTGTTTAACTTTTTCGTTCCTCTTTCTTTTTTAATTTTTTCTTTTCGTTTAAGATTATCAAAAAAATAAATAATTTTTTCTTTTCGTTTAGGGTTATCAATATATATATATATAGGGTCACGCTCCGGTGAGAATGAGTCTTAATCCGAGAAATGAGAATAAATCGTAGCCATTGGATCCGATGATCTAATGGCTAATAAAAAAGTCAAATTTATACCTTCATTAAGGATATTTTAGACATTTTCCATATCTGTTGTGGACCCACCAGACACACAAAAATACCAACCCGTTGACTCACACCTAATTAATTGTGGGCCCCACACACAACCCACCACCACCAACCCACCCGCTACCAACTATCTGCCACACATTAAACCAAAAAAAGCCTATCTGCCACACATTAAACACGCACACACACCAAAACACACACCTCCAGACACACAACCCCACGCACACACACCCGTCGGCTGCCGCACCCAGATCCGCCGTAGTCATCGCCGTTTCTTCCACCTTGCCATCGTCACCTTACTGTCGCCGGGTTTCACAGGTGGATACGTCAACTCGTCCACCACCACGCGCTGCCGGTTTCGCCTGTCACTGCGGTGGTTCGCTTCAACTTCGCCGGCGAATGAGAAAACAAGGGCGGCGTTTCGATTTGAACCACTATCTGTCACTGGGGCCATTGTTCAAAGAGAGAGACCCTCCGCTGCTGCGTGTCGCCATTGAACACCTCCAATCGCCGCCGTGAAATCGCCGTGATTCTCGCGGCTAGCGTCGTCCGACGTCTCCGGTAGCTCAAGCCACATTCTCGTCGACGTGATAGGTGGCTTTACCGGCGATTTGAAAATCTGGATTTCATCTTGAAATTGGGCATTTGCTTTGAGAATTTGATTATGTACAAGGACCTATTTGCAATTTTCTAATAAAAAATATGTAATTCTTGAAAGTTGATAAAAAATTAATTCTTATATTTTTCGATATACACATATACTAAATAAAAAATAAATTATTAAATAAAATAATATAAAGTATTAAAATAATTTTAAAATAACTTATAATAATAAATAAATTATATAACAAATAAAAATATATTTTAATTATTTAGGTTAATTCAATTTACAATTATATCTATTAAAAATAGTTATTCAATACACACAATTTTTATGGGATATTACAAATTAGTGCACTTTATATATCGAAACGTTGCACTTTGTAAAACAACACACCGCACTGTATAAAACAACACGTTGCACTTTATCACTACACTCTACAATTGAAATAATGTAAAATATTAAAATATTTTTATATTAATAAGTTAATTGTATAATAAGAAGAATAAATAAAAAGTTATTTTAATGATTTAAGTTAATTCGGTGTACAATTATATCTATTAAATAGTTTTCTGAATACACATAATTTATATGTGAGTATATAAATTAGTGCACATTATATAGCGGAATGTTACACTTTATAAAACAACAAGTTGCACTTTATAATACGACACGTTGCACTTTACCTACACACTCCGCAATTAATGTCACATCTGATCTACATAACTGCACTTTATATATAAATATGTTGCACTTCTATTACTATATAATACGGAGAAGAAAAATTATTTGAACAATTCGAAAAAAATCATTTCGTTTTCCCGCTTCAATATAGTGTTTTTCCCGCTTCTTCAATTCGTAAACTTTTTTTTTGAAATTTTTCAGCCCATGCAATTAGGTAACCAATCAAATCGAATCTTTTAGCATTCAATTTGGTAAGGTGTTCTGATTTTAGCATTCAAATCCGATTTCACTTCCTTTTTTTATGCCAATCAATCCGATTTTTTTGGTTGTTTGAAAATTTGTTTAGATTTATATTTTTATTTTATTAATATATTTAGAGAATCAATAAATGTTTATCATAACTTTTATTTTAAAAATAAATTTGAATAAGCATACCTTTTACTTTATATGAAATTCAAAATTACATATTTTAATATATTAATAAACGTTTATTATTTATTTTTTCCTTATGTGATATAATAAAATTTCGGTATTAAATTTGTAAATTCAAACATTTAAAGGAAAAGATTCTAAACAATTTTTTTGGGTAAATTTCATTTTATCTTAGTTTTCATTATCACATTTCTAACAAACTAATTAGTATTTTATTTTTTTATCTACATTATCTAACCGATTTTTTATGATACAATTAATATAATATCTTAACAAATTAATCATTTGTCTAACCGGATTTATCTCTCTAACAAACTTGTCAATTTTTTTAAAATTAAAATGGTATGATTATTTTATGGAGATACTTATCAATATATTAAATATTGAGAAACTTTTTTTAAAAAATGAGTTATCCCTCCTTTTACTTTATTTGAAATTCTGACTTATATTTTTAAATATATTATTATTTATATTTTTACATGTAAATATTTATTATTTATTATCTAAGTGATAAATATTATTGATTTATCTCTTTAATATATATTTATTATTTATTTTATTCCTTACGTGATATAATGTAAATTTGGTTACTAGATTTTTAAATTCAAACATTTAAAGGAAAAAACCACGAACAATTTTTTTTGTTACATTTCATTTTATTTTAACTTCCATATAATCACAATCCTAACAAACTAATTAGTATAATATTTTTTTTACCCATTTTTATATAATCGGATTCTTAAAATATAATTAATATAATATTTTAACTATTTAATCATTTGTAGAACTTGATTTAACTCATTATCAAACTTGCCAAATTTTTTTTGAAATTAAAAAAAAATTGGAAGATTTTTATTTGTAAAATAATAAAAAAATAGCTTTACTTTAAAGTCTGGATTATTTCCATTATTTTTTGTACGTTAACAATCATATATTTTGGATTATTGATTTAAAAAAACAAATCAAAACCTTAAGGTTTAATAATATTCCTTAAATAAAAAATATTGTATAAAGAAAAGTATTTAATAATATATATTTTTCATTGATTGTATTTATTTTATTTTCATAATAGACGAGATGTGAAAAATATAAATAATTATATTTAAAATAAAGTCTAAAAAATATTTAAAATATGAACTCTTCCGTGCATCGCACGGGATATATACTAGTTATATATAAATATGTTGCACTTTATATCGAAATATGTTGCACTTTATAATAATACATATTACACCTTATAAAACAACAGGATACGCGTACCAAAAAATCCGGTAAATGAACTAATCGATCGAATAATATTTGTTGGTTAAATGTCGGATTTAGTCGTTTTAAATAAATAAAGTAACTACACATGCCAAACTATGTGAAAATATTACCAATTATTTTCAATTATATTTTTTTAATAAGAAACCAATAATATTTTTCATATATATTTTTTTATGTACGCGAGTGCACATCATGGTTATATTATTTTCACGTAAACTTCAACATATTGCACAAAATCGAATGAGATCCAACAAACATAAATTTGGTACGAAATTTTATATATTGTTTCGATTATTATTAGTATTCTTTTATAAATCAAGTATTTCGGTACGATATAATTTTTTTATTTAAATAACTAAAATAAAAACCAAATTATATTATTTTTATATTTTTTTGTATAAAAATATTAAGATATAATTTTCTATTGAAATATAAAAAATTAATATAGTGCATTTTATGTATTATTGTGTATGTATTAAAATTTTATTATATTATCAATTTGCATAATTGTACACAATTGAAAATGTAACAAACTTTTAGAAATTGCAATTAGACCCCAATAATAAATCAAATTCTCACAATAACAACCCCAAAACTCACACAAACACACACACATGATGTAACAGATGCTATATCCGGCCAAAATTACAATGCTCATTGATGGCCGAAGGTGGCCTGTTATTCGCCGCCGACATTCACCGGCGATTTTCCGGCGAGCGGTTAGGACGACGGAGAAGTTTCACGCCATTGAAGGGGCCGATGGTCGCGATGTTGACGGAGGCGGAGGTAGGATGCTGATGGTGGGCTGATAATGGCAACGGCGACGACAGACGGATGGAGACGGCGGTGACAGACGAATGGCAACGGCGGCGACAGACGGATGGCGATTGGCGACGGCGGGGGGTGGCGTACGGGCAGCGACTAGTGGTGGGTGGCGGAATCTGGCGATGGCGGGGCTGCGCTGGGTGAGGTCGGAGACGACAGGCGGTGGCTGTGGGCTGGAGTGCCGCCGTGTGTGTGTGTGTGTGTGAGTGAGACCTGTGTGCGTGAAAATCATATTTGTTTGTGTGTGTTTGTGGGTGTGAGATCGGGGAAGGGAAGGGTTATGGTGGGGTCCAGTATTGGTGTTTAATTTTTTAATAGATATGTAATGACTAGTGTTGATAACCGACTTGGTTTCGTAGAATTAAAGTCGGTGATTAATCATTTCGCTGAAATAATAAACCTCCAGAAAGAGAGAACTTAAGCCAAGTCGGTATTTTCTAAATTGATTACCGACTTCCGGGATTGTCAAAAAGTCAAAACCGACTACTGAGAAAATACAAGCGACCGACTTCGCCAATACCGTGGCTAGTCGTATAAAATCTTATCTATCCAAACCGACTGCTAAAAAGTTCGAATTTCCAAGTAAAAGACAGAGCTGTAAGCATGTGATTGGATCGTCAAAACAACAAAGCAATTATTGGTGTTTCCCAATTCCAAGACACACCACTTTAATGAAGCTGCTCAACATTAAATACGTTCTTATCCATCTTTAGCCAGAAGACAAAAACTACCGCACTATAAATAGCAGAAATTATGGTAGTACGAGGATCTTTTTTCCGGCACATTGTACATGGACTAAAAATGATCTCGATTAAGAACGAAAAAACCGACTTCCTGTACTATTGTGATATTATCAATAAATCAAAATCCAACTTTATATTAATCTTCGTTTAAACACACTCTGCTGTTAATTTCTTCGTTGTTAATTCCTTACAACAACAGTTTGGCGCTAGAAGGAGGGCCCTAAACCTCCGATTTGTTGTGTGTTTCATGTAACACCTAGTTATAAACGTTCACAATCGTCATGTCAAGTTCTGGGCGACACGACCGTAATCCAGATATTGGAATCGATCGTCACCCTGCTCATACAACTGAAAATTCAACTGTGCCATCGATGCCGATAGATTACTCTGCTTTATTTCAAGATCCAGAGTTTTTGAGAAATTTAACTAATTTCATGGCACAAACAAGAGCAGAACCAACTGCAGCAGTTCATAATCGAGCTCACCCTTCACCTGTTCGACAGCAAACTAATATTCCTGCTGCATCACACGCAACCTCTCATCCACGAATACTTGAGTTACAACATAATATTGCCACTCATAATCGTGGTGTAGTTCCTGTTCAAAATCATATTCCAGAAGCAGCTCAACCAGAAAGTTACTGCTGAAAGTCATTCTGGACGTCGTCCGCAACAGCCGACACCTTCGCTGTCGGAAACTTCACGACATGGTCAACCATCTGATTTACGGTGTACTCTTGAACGAAATCGATTCCGACGTGAGCATGATGAGTTACGTCGTACTATCGAAAGGAATCGTTTAAGACGTGAGTCGGAGGAATTAGAGATGCTAAGAAAGAGAATTGCTGAGTTAGAAACTCGGCAAGATGATCATGAGGAATCTCGACTGCAAATTCCCATACAGGAAGAGGTGTATCTAGAGGCTGAGACTCCCTTGGCTCCTCATTTGACCAGAGAACCTCTTCCTGTCAAAGTAAAGGTTCCTCAAATCGGTTTATACGATGGCACCTCTGATCCTGACGCTCATCTTGGTCAATATACTTCCTGGATGGATCTCCACGGGTCAACTGACGCACTTAGATGTCGGATGTTTTCATTGACCTTGGGACCTCGAGCCCAAAAATGGTATCATTTCTTACCCCGGTGTTCAATTTCCACATGGCGACAATTAAGAACGGCTTTTCGATCTCATTTTATTAGGGCCCGAGTGTCTTTAATTCCCAAAGAATCGATTGCCAATATTGTGCAAAAAGATAATGAAAGTGTGAAAGATTATATTGCTCGGTTTAATGAACGAGTACAAAATATGGAGCAATGTCATCCTGAAACGTTGCTGGTCACGGCAATAGCTGGATTAAAGCCAAATCCATTATTCCGCTGGAGTATTTATCAAAACAAACCGACTTCATTTCAAGATTTTCTAGCTCGAGCTCAACAGCATATCATAGCTGAAGAATCGATGTCGGTTCCTGCCATCGACTTTTCTTTGCATAAGTCGGAAGTCAGACAAGAATCAAAAAAAAAGAAAAATAAACCGTTCAAGCTAAACAAATCCCGATTTGGGAATCCTAAAGTGCCTGAGGTGCAAGAAGCTAGAACCAAATATCTTAATGAAGTCAAATCCAGCTATCAGACAGTTTTCTCAGCAGGAGCAGCAACCATATTCAAAGAATTGAAAGGGAAAGGAATCCGTCCTGATCCCCGACCTGTGAGAACTCCAGAAGAAAGAATTGATAAGACGAAATATTGTTCATATCACAAGTCGGCGGGACATGACACCGATGAATGCCTTGGTTTGCTTTCTGCCTTATTACGACTCATTGGACACCCTCAAGTCCAAAGGTTTGTCAAGAATGCTGATTATAAACGAAAGGGCAGATTGTTAGACCTACCGGATGATGATGAAGATGATGGTCGTCCAATTAATCCAAAGCGAGTGAGGCCAAGTGATAAAGAAGTGTTCGTGATGAACTCGGAAGAAAATAATTCATTGAGAAATAATGAAACGATTCAACGAGGCGGATACTCTAATCCTGATAATTCTCATCATGTTACCCGAGTCAATAACAGTAGCAATACGTCGTTTGAATCACGACGAAAAATGAAGACTTATGCTCGAAAAGCTTATAATTCGGGTAAAACTGTCTTAACAACCGACCTCCGAGATAAAATTAATGCTCGAAATAATTGTCCGATAACATTCAATATGGATGATGCTAGCTATTTCGCTCACCCACATGCCGATCCTCTAGTGATAACGGCACCTATTTGTGGGATACCAGTACATCGCGTCCTGGTAGATACGGGAGCATATTCAAGTATTTTAATGTTACGCACGTTCGAACAAATGGGAATAGATCCAGCTGAATTGAAACCCTGTAAAGATCAAGTACAAGGTTTTAATGGCACGATTACATCGACCATTGGTGAAATTACTATGCCAGTTCGGTTTGGAATTCCTGGACAAGCTTCTAAAGTTATCATGGAGACGTTTAAGGTAATGGATCTCAAAAACGAATATAATGCCATTGTAGGAAGGACAGCCTTGTATAAACTTCGTGCGGCTGTCTCGATTTTGCATTATGCTTTGAAATTTCCCACCAACTATAGAGAAGGAACTCATTATGGAGACCAATATGAAGCTCGTGGAATGGTGTGGGTTAAACCTTGGCATGAATCACGTTCACCGATACACATGATGGAAAATATCCGGGAAAACCGAGAGAAACATTCAACTCTTAACAACTCGGTATCCAATATTACCGAGATGGAAGTAGATCCGACTTTGAAGTCGGAAAAATTCAACAATGATTTAACTCAAGATCGTGGGAGACGTCCAGGAAAAGAACCAATCAAAGAAGAAGATGAACTTGATCCCCGAACTCAATTCAAGGAAAAGAATAAATTCGACCGAGCTGAACCATCAGAAGATGTCGAGACGATTTATATTGATGATCCGAGTTGTAAAAAGTCACTTCAGATTGGGGCCAGTCTTCAAGAACCGATACGTACTAAACTCATCCAATTCCTTAAAGCAAATTTAGATGTATTCGCCTGCAAACATGAAGATATGAAAGGGATTGACCCCAAAGTGGCCTCTCACCGACTTAACTTAGATCCGACAATCAAGCCAGTGGTTCAAAAACGACGTAAACTCGGTCCAGACCGACAAAAAGTCGTTGAAGAAGAGGTTCAAAAGTTAATCGATAACAAATTTATTCAAGAAACAAAATATCCGACTTGGGTATCAAATCCTGTTTTGGTGAAGAAAAGCTCTGGAGCATGGCGACTCTGTATCGATTTTTCTGACTTAAACAAAGCTTGTCCAAAAGACAGTTATCCATTACCACACATCGATTACATGGTAGACGCTACTGCTGGACATGAGCTGATGAGTTTCATGGATGCCTACTCGGGCTATAATCAAATTCCCATGGATCCCGAAGAAGCAGAACATACATCTTTTTATTCTGCTCGAGGTCTGTATTGTTATACGATGATGCCGTTTGTTCTTAAAAACGCCGGGGCCACATATCAGAGGCTGGTTAATAAAATGTTTGCCAAGCTTATTGGGCATACTATGGAAGTTTATGTGGACGACATGCTATTCAAGTCGGTTCGTGCTGCCGATCACATCGATCATTTGCACGAGATGTTTAACATCCGGGGAGATTACTCTATGGTGTTGAATCCAAAGAAATGCACTTTTGGAGTTGGTTCTGGTAAGTTTTTGGGGTACATTGTGACTCAGCGCGGTATTGAAGCTAATCCTCTGAAGATAAAAGCCATACGGTTAAAGGAGTTCAAGCTCTTACCGGCCGGCTCGCTGCCTTGAATCGATTTATATCGAAATCAGCGGATCGTTGCAAACCTTTCTTTGAATCAATCAAGAAAGAAAAATGTTTTGAATGGACTGAAGAATGCCAGCAAGCGTTAGAAAAGATTAAAGAAACACTTCTGGAAATGCCAACTCTACAAAAACCGATACCCGAAGAGATGTTATACTTATATTTGGGAGTAAGTGAAGCTGCTATCAGTGCTGTTCTCGTTCGAGAAAAAGAACAACAACAATATCCAGTCTATTATATCAGTAAAGCTTTACATGAAGCTGAGTTGCGATATCAACCAATGGAAAAATTAGCTTATGCCCTTATTATTGCAGCTCGGAAATTACGTCCTTACTTCCAAGAACATTCAATAACAGTGCTCACTTCATATCCTTTAAAGTCGATTCTTCACCGACCTGATACTTCAGGAAGATTAGTTAAATGGGCAATAGAACTCGGTCAATATGATATCCAGTACAAACCGAGAACAGCAATTAAAGCTCAAGTTTTGTCAGACTTTATTGCCGAGTTCACTCCAGTAATAGAAGCAGTCAATGAAGACCAAACATGGACTTTATACGTAGACGGGTCATTGACTCAACATCGGGCTGGTGGAGGAATTGTTTTGCTTGATCCA